CCTTTTCATAAATTCTGTAGACATCTGTTAGGGAGGAAGAAGATGCCCAAAACAGGACTACCAGCACATTCTCATGGAATGTTCTTTTATCTTCCCCCTTAGTATCATTTAATATTATGATTAACCTTCCCCTCCCAAGATTTTAAGTACAGCGTTCTGACAAATATCCTTTTTTTAAAAAAGCTCTCTATTTAACAAAATGTTAATCAGCTAAAAGAAACAAAGCCAATTAGTTACATGCGGTTAGTTTTGTTCCCTATGCGACATATTTTCTTGATGTCCACAGAAGTAGCTTATTAATTAGAATTAAATTGAACAAATGGCACCCTCACTTCTTCACTTGGTAGCATGTGATCCTTCTATGGTTCTATTTTAGATGATTCTCTGTTGGCCAATCCAGTTACCTCCAACCTGAGTTGCCTTCTTAACCTTTAAGAATTTCTCATCAATTTTATTTTTCCATGGATATTACTAGTATTTTTCAATGGATCTTCCCTGTTAATATCTAGCTCTGCTTCAAATATTGTCCTAAAGGGAAGATTCTGTCCTCAGTAGAGTATTTTGTTCAGGATGGCCAAAGACATGTTCTTGGTTGGTTTTTCTCTCCTAAAGGTAATAGCTGTAAATGCATATTCAGGTCACCACCTTGTCTTGAGAGCCTAGCAACTTGAAACATGATATGGCGCCAAAATATTACAACCATTTTGTGTAAAGGTACTGTGCATTGATTTTATTTTAAGAAACAATCTAAAAATCATTTGGCAGCCTGTGCTCCACTTGAGTTGTATGGAAAATAATGATCTACTATATTCCTGGAGCTACTGTCTTTTCTGTGAATGCATCCAGAGAATGCAAGCACCTTTGAAAATGACCATTGAGCACGGTAGACACAGTCTAGAATGTCAGCCATGCCTGTGTTCTGACTCATATGCGTGTTTACCATGTTTAGAAAATAGACTTTCTGGGTTGAAAAGTAATTTGATCTATGCAATGTCTGGCATTAGTTTAATACTTTCCACTTGTCAAAATTGGCTCGAGCAGATATGCATTTTGCAAAGCACAGTTTTGGCAACTTCAGATGGGGTGCAGAGGCAGTTAGCTACAACAGCCCTAGTGGGGAGAAGAGGCAGTGACAATAGGAGTGGCGGGGAGTCCTGGCAGTTAGCTCTAACAACAATGGAATGAAATAATACCTGTAATAATAATAATAATAATCATAATCTAATACTCTTCTCCTCATCTTTATATTCTTGATACTTCCCCCGCCCTGCGTCCAACCCCCGCCCTTGACCAATTATAGCATTGATGGTTATATCTCCTAGAATAAAAATGGGGATTTTCATTATTCAGGTCTGAGGCTGTCCTGTTGTGTGACATTTTAGTAGATATCTTTATCTTATCCTTTACTTGGATCTTTAGCCCCCTTTCCCTTTTTCAGAATGAGATTTAAATTTGGACATTATCCATGACAAAAGAAGGCAGAGGCTTCCTCTAGCTCCTTTAATGACACGAAATGGAAGGGGAAGTGGGTGCTCTGCATTTTTATACCCTTCAAAGTAAAGATTTCACTGTCCTGGAGCATTTGTTGGTATTATTAGGTTTAGCTCTCTGTCTCACATCTTTCCTTTGGCTGGCTGCCTGGCATTGACAGCCTCGGTCGGTGAAAGTGACCAGGCAAAATGATTATTTATGCAACACACATGCACACTGAAAGGATTTTACTATATTATCTAGAATCTTACTTTGAATCATAAAATGATGACATCTTTTCTGTGGTTTTATATTTAGTGGGCAAGTGCAGAGAAATGAATAGCAGATCCCATAAGAAAGCCATAGTTTTCTTGTCTGTGAAAGCCATTGTCTTTCATATTAAAAAACAATAACAACAACAAAACTCAAAACCTCTGTGGACAAGCGCCACCGAACTGCCCTTCTTCTTGTTTCTTGAAAGGATTCTTGTCAAGATTTTTTTTTTTTTTTTTTTTTTAAAGAATGCAAAGTCAATACCTTGTCTACAGAGGTAGTTAGAAGGATTTAGAAAAATAGTCTCAGATCCTGAAACAGATGCTAATTTGTTATTTTAATAAGTTTTTCACAGTTAAATAGGTTAATTCCATTATTTGACTTGGTCTTCAGAAGTAAAATCCTTATAGTAGCACCCAGTGGTTATGTCTTTGGCAGTTTTTATTTTTGCCTGTATTTGCCCTAAAACTTCCACATATGATGAGAAAATGAATAATTGAAAAACAAAACCTGGAAAACACTGGACTATTACAGCCATCCTTGAATGTATGCAAATTTGTCTTTCTATTTTATTTAGAAGGAAGATTTCTGTATTTAATACAAATTTTACCTTTTGTGTGTCCTCCCCTGCTAGGTTTTTCCAGATGAGCTTCCTTATATAGGCCCTTTTATGGCAGCTGGACAAAAAAAGCACTTGACCATTGCTTTTTTGTTTGCAAATTATAAGAATCTCCAACTTGTCTTCATTCTTTGGGTGAAAAGTGACACAGTAACCCTTAAAACAACAACAACAACAAAAAAAAAACTCAGTGTAGGGAAAATGGCACCCTACCTCTAGGTATATTTCATGTCATACGATAACTGTTGATTCCCTTCAAGCATTGTTGTAAGAAATTTCAAAACAGACCTTACATGGAAACCTGGGTTGTTAACATGGATTTTCATTCATTGACAGTTTTTAGAATATGGATAAGAGAAGGTACCTGAAATTGACAGTATTGTAAAATTGAATGTGGCAATTCAATGCACTTTGTTTTTCCAGGGAGATTTCTAGAAATATTAATTGTGTAATTATAATTTCTCTATTGGGTATTGACAAGGGGGTGGTTATTATCAATTTGCATTGTTTTAACAGCAGAAGAAGAAATTAAAAACCTTGTAATGTCTTTGTTTCCAAAGTGATATCAGCATACAGTATTTTTTATTCCATTCACCGTGTTACTGAATTTCAAATAATTTTAAGTACTTCCCACTGCTTCTAGTTTGTAGTGCTACTCAGAAATGCTGCAGGACATGATATTTTAGCAGCCTGTTAGAACCATTTTTTTGTTCCTAATCTTTTTGAACACAAACAGACCCCAGGTCCAACCAACTAGTTGCTGATGAGGTGGAGGCTCTTTTCCTGGAACCACAGTTTGCAGAGATGTCTCTCTCCTCTCACTTCTATATTTGCCCCTTTATGAAAATCTTATATTAAGCTATAAAACCTTAAAACTGTAAGAGATTTTTGCAAATAACTTATGTTTACAGTGAATAAACAGTAAAGTTCATTTTTTTAAAATCTCCTATATTATTCATCTCTATCTATCTAAAATCATAAAATAATAATTGATTTGAGATGGGAATCTAGTTTTCCTGAATGCAGGGAAAACACACCAGCAGTCAGCTTCTCCCTCAAGGCAGCAAGAGCATGAAACAGAAAACCTGAATTGAAGTAGAGAAAACAGTGATGAGGGTGAGCAGGAATGGACACTGGTATTTTTTTCTATTAAAATCTTAAGGATTGTTTTCAAAATGCATGTTAGTTGTAGTTGCTAAAAGCCACTTTTCATTCATATATAACTAAACAACAGAAAAAAAAAACCTTGAATAGGGATCATAATGCAAAATAAGTGAAATGTTCTTAACTTAAAAAAAATGCCAATTATAGCATCAGTATAAAAAGTCAAGGATGTAAGAAAGGTATAAAGGAGTAGGAAAAACATTAAAATACCACCTTGCAAACCACCATCATAATTTTAGTAAGCTTTGTCCAGTTTCATGTGTCCATTTTTATTTTCAGATAGCCCCTAACATAATTCCATATGTTTTTGTAGCTTACCATTGAATCATAAGTATTTATCATGATATATGTTAAAAATTTTATAAGTTATCAATTGTGTAGCATTCCTTCATTGAGCCATGGTTCATTTCAACACCAGTTTCTATATTGATATTTATGTTACCTATAATCTTTTACTAAACAAATGGCATGATGAATAGCTTTGTGCATAAACACTCATCTACATTTCATATCATTGTTTGATGATATATTTCTGAATTTTGAAATATGAGATGTAAAATAAGTTTTTAAGGAAAGGGAAGTGAATGTTAGGAATATTTAAGAGCTTTCAAACCTTCCAAGTTCTAGCCGTTAAGCTTTAGTAGGTAGTCTTTATCTTTCTTTAAATATATCCTTTTTGGCTGGGTATGGTGGCACATGCCTCCAATCCCAGCTACTTGGAGGCTAAGGCTGGAGGATTCCAAGTTTAAGGCCAACTTCAGTAACTTAATCAGACCCTGACTCAATAACAATAAAGTAAGGGCCTGCGTTTCATCCACAGTACTATACAAAAACAAAATACTTTTTTTTTTTTTTTTTTGCTGTGAATTTAATGGCTTCTTAGTTCATCTTTTTTTGTCAATTGTGGACTTAAGTAAGGCAGCCCACAATATCTGAGTTAGAAAGTCACTCTCCCTCCCTCACCTTATTTCTTTCTTGCCATACCTTCTAATTCAGGCTACTTTCTTTTTTGTCTCTTTAAAATTCCCTAGAATTTCTTTCAAATGTCACTAATTTTAATAGCTCAGCAGTGGTAATGCTGCTTTCTGGCAGGGTCCTGATAGTGGCATCAAAGAAAAGAGCTAAAATTTTACTCACTTTGATTGATGAGCTCATTTTGTTACAGAGGACAAATTGGATTTTTTTTATACTAGTAATAAAAATTAATGTGTGATGTTGCTTTTCGGAAGTTATTGGATCTCTGCTTTAATATAGATTTCAGCAATAAAAAGCATAACAGATAACTTGACCAGGAAGCTACCTCCCCTATAAACTACCCTGAGAAGTAAAGGGTGCTTTTCTAATTTTGTAATCCTGGTATACCTATGTATGTGTGAGGTTAAGGGTTATGGGGGAGTAGTTGCAAAGGGATATTGGTCTGTATTTCAATTTTCCATTTAATTGTGATGTTTATTTCTTTTTATTTCAGCACCTCCAAGGTTTACACGAACACCGGTTGATCAGACAGGGGTCTCTGGCGGAGTTGCATCTTTCATTTGCCAAGCTACAGGAGACCCAAGACCTAAAATTGTCTGGAACAAAAAAGGAAAGAAAGTCAGCAATCAGAGATTTGAGGTATTAGGTCCATTGTTCTGTTTCTCTGGGGGAAGAATGTTATCTGCTCTGTCTTGGGTTTATATGTTACCTGTTTGCTTTGCTCTGATAAGATATTGTAGTCTCTGAGGTGTGACATTCATAATGTTGTATGTGATAATGTAACTCTAAATGGCTTTTTGAAAAGGAGAATTTGGGGGTTGAAGTGGCTGCCTTTTGTCTTTGCTTGTGCAAGGACTTAAATTGCATTCCTGGGATGCATTTGTCACCTCCAACCTCAGTCTGCTTCCTCTTAAGGTTGGTCCTTACATGACCAAGTCTAGAGGATATATGAAAACTTGACTCTTCTGAAACTTCCTGTCTCATTGGCCTTTCTGAGTTACTTGTTTATTCTTGAACCAATCTGTGTGGGCAGGTGAATAGTGTAGGCTAATTAATTAAAACCAGCAGAATCTACAGGAATGGAGTCAGTTCTATCCAGTCTCATGGTTTACAACTCTGGAGAGAATGGTGTTTTCCTGGATTGGGATTTGAATTTCAGTTCTTAAAAAGAAGGGGAATAGACTTGAACAGGAAAATAGCATGAACCTAAATGAGACATTTTTTTACAATATCTTAGTGTAAAATACTACCCTGTAAGAAACATACTCAAACAGGTTGAAATTGCAGGTAAACCTAGAGAACAAATTGATTTTCTTTATTCAGTAACGCCCAGTGCATCCAAGATGGTGAAACACCATTTCTGTATTACTCTTTGAGTATTGTGAGGGGTCTTAAGTTTTTGAAATTTGCTCATTCTGAAGAAGAAAAATAGTTAAGTTACTCAGAAAAAGAATGTAGGGAGCACACAATGTCACAGCTGCGATTTCGGTCATGGAGAAGAGGATAGCTTCAACTTTTTTTGTTTTGTTTTGTTTTATTTTGTTTTTTAAGGTGGTATAGAGACTCCCAACATGCTTCCTTTTTAACCTAAGATTTTAATCTAGGTTCAGTTTTTAATTTGGCAGATTAAAAGTGCATTCTAGTTAAAAGAAATATAGCACTACAAAATCCAGAACAATTTGATTGTGCTCATTTTTATAGAGTGTCAGTGATATATGGTTCCTATGTATAAAGTACCTATTAATCACAGTGATGAAATTTGAAATATAACAAATTATGTGGTGGTTTAAACATGAAACGAATACCTTAGTCTTCAGGTTATTTCTTTCAGCATGTAGAGTGTGTGTGTGTGCGTGTGTGTGCATATCCACGTGTGTGCGTGCACACAAACACACACACACACGCATATCCTTGGTACACTTTTTTTTAGTTTAAATGAAGTTAATTTTATTGACCAAGATTCTAATAACTATGCTGTTTCTTCCCTAAGATGCATAGATTTATTTTAAAATGTGTGCTTAATAGGGGTGAAAATAAATTGTGGTGCTTTGAGAAGTGGAACATTTTGGATATCTCCATGAATTTAGGATGAATATGGAATATACAAAGGACTTAATATGGACATATTTTACAAATATTTGGTCTCCTTCCTCTATATGCTAAAACATCATTTGGGATTAAGCATTCATGAACATATTTGTAAAACGTTTTCAATTCATAATTTAGGCACATGGAAGTACCACTTGTAGTTTAAAAAAGTGTCATTTGAGTGAGCAGCTGATAGAACATAGCATAGTTTTAAAAAGACAGGTGACAGACCCTATAGTTATATATACAGATGTATCACCATCATCATCATTACCATCATTTTTTTTTAGTACCTGAATTAGCTGGATGGCAGGATTACTGGTGTTGCTAAGCTGTTTTGCAATAGAGTTCATAATGATGGTGAATTCAGGCTTGGTGTTTAGAACATTAATTTTCTGCCTGGTGAAGCAAGCCTCCATTTTACAGCTAGAATGCCCTAAAAATGCAAAAAATGCTAAGCTAGAACAAATGCTGGAATGATTTATGGCAGAATTAATGCATGTCATCAGGTCTTTGGGTTGTGAAAGCCATCTCGTTGACTGCCTAAGTGCTAGATTTATGCAGTTTCTCTTCATGGTTTGCTCATCTGTACTGTTCAGGATGAGATACTTCAGACCCACAGAACTGTTTGTGGTGGCTTGCTTTAATTCTTCACCTTACAGTTCAGTTATTACCACATGTGCATATGCACTGTCAGAGACCAAATAATTTGAGAAGTTTATCCATCATAACTGCAAGTCCCTTGCAGAATTAATAGGCATAAATTACCTAGATACACAAACTGAATATGTTGATGTGTCAATTGAGGGCAGTTTTCGGTTGCATTAGAAATCCCCATTTTGCATATGTAGTTTTATGTCTTTATTTTTGTTTGGTAGAAAATTCTTTCAATTAGACTATACTGTTTTACCTCTGTCTCTAAACTCAGTCTTGGAATGATGCTGAGTTCATTCAGAGCCTGGTGGCTGGTTCACCACTGCATTGAGAAGGTTAGCTGAGAGGTGGGCAATTATAACAACACCTGTGACAGCTATTGTTTCCTCTAATAGGTAATAGAGTTTGACGATGGATCTGGATCAGTTCTCAGAATACAACCCTTACGGACTCCTCGGGATGAGGCTGTTTACGAATGTGTGGCCTCGAATAAAGTGGATGAAATCATTGTCTCCACCAGGCTCACAGTTTTGCGTGGTAAGTCTTATGTGCAAGGTTGTTGATTGTGTCATTGTTGCCATTCTGCATCTCAGGTGTTCTTTTGAAGGGCCATGAGAAAGACTAAACATTGTTATGGTGTTTAAGTAGGAAATGAATTTCAGTAAAATGTTCTAAGGGTCTAACTTTAATGAGACAGTGGACTTGATCTTGGTATGGTTTTGGAAGAAATGCTAATCAGCAAGAGAAAAGGAAAATAAAAAGAAGTATTGATTTCAAAGGCCAGACACCAATTTGATTTTGCCTGGAGGATCTAGGAAGAAACAGCTATGCTACCCTTGTTTGTTAGCATTACTTGTGCATAGTCTTTTTTTTTTTTCTTTTCATACTTTTTTTTTAAGCTGTTTTATAAACTACCAAAGCTGATAGTGTTTTAAAAATTAAAGGAACGGTCTCTATCTAAAGATGAGCTCCTCTTAAGCAGCTGGTCAGAACCAAGGATAAGAAGGATGCCTTTCTTCTTTGTCAAAAATAATCTTTTTATTTCAGTCTTTTATCTTTTCTTGAACCCATATCTATTGATGCAAGTGAAATGAGGTAGTGAATCCCCTTCTGTGTCTCTGTGTTGCTTGCATAATTTGACCAAAGCATGGATGACATGCGGTGTGTTCACTTTTTAGGCTTCTTTTACAAAGTCAGTGCTACAGAATAAAGACTAGTGGTTAACCCTCCGATTCATATATCTAATTCAGCCTTTTGTGTAGAGATAAGAACATTGCCTGATTGGACAGCTAACAGATGACATTTTCATGCTAACATATCTGTGACTTTCTGTTTCTCTCTCACTGTTGTTTGTTTGCTTTGAGCTTGATTCCAGAGTTTAGTAGAAAAGATTTTTCGTGAGGTGAAGGAAATTTGAAGGAAGGGATCACAATTTAAATAGAGGAACTTATATGTATTATGAGTGTTTCTCCTGCATTCCATTTTCCCCATTGAGGGATATATTTACTTTGTATCTTATAAAATTAAAAAAAATGCCATTTTCCTTCCAGATCTGTTTTCTATTAAATCTTCCTCTACTCTCCTGAGAAGCTTTACCTTGTTAATATTAAAAGTCTGTTTATTTGGAGGAAAGCAGTTATCAGTAATGTAGAATAAATTTACCTGTTGAATTTGAGATTAAAAAAAGGAAACTAAAGAACATCTAAGAGGAAGACTAGTTAGTACAAGAAGCTGAATGAGGTTATTTACATTTGCATCCTAAAACATGTTTTAAGTGGTATAAACACCTTACCAAATTGAAAGGAAAATATTGAAAAATGAGATGTGTGTACATACATGCGCACAAGCACACACACAGACTTATATATTTAAATGCGTAGAGCACAGAGCTACTTAAAACCAACTCAAATTTGAGTAACTTTTTTTTTGCCATTATGACAAGCTAAGTTGATGCAGGGAATTCTTCATTCTTCATAAATAGAGATGTTGATGAAACATCTGATAATATAATTAAATTCTAGTTAGGTTAGCAAGTAAGAAAGAGATGTTTCCAAGTGCTAAACACAAAGAGGGAACCCTTAGAAAAAAGACAGTTGTAGTCTTATAACCCAAGATGATGACTACATGGGCTTTTAGACTTTTGAAGTATTAGTAGGTATATATACTCTGTAGCAGGTACAAAATAAGATGGGAGTAAGAGGAGCTAGATTGCCTTTCTGCCTTGTGATGAGTTCTAGTAGTATTCCTGTATTGCAGAACTAAGAACCCAGATGCTTAACTTTAAAGCTGGGCAGAAACAGAATTCCATAGAACCTATAAGAAGGAACCAGAAAAGCACTCACCCAACAGACATCCTCACAACCCAGGCAAATGACCCTGAAGAAGGTTATTTATACTCAGAAGGACTCATAGTCATCAAGTCTAAAGTATGCATCAAGCCACTTCTAACCCATTGTTACAGTAAGCCCAAGCAGTAAAGTTCAAAGCCATGGTCTATGAACTAATCACTAAACAGTATGAATGGGGTTTTATAATAAATATGTTTAAGATATTTGCAAAGATATAAGAAGTAATGTATTATGCATCTATAAGACATTAGGCAAAAACAAAATAGATAGGAATTTGAATCCAGTTTCTGTTAACTGGATGGAATCTTTGACATATTACTTACACATGTGATACTATATGCTTTGGAAAATATGCATATATGTGAATGTACATACACATGATCACATAAACTTTAAAAGATCTGAAAATTGCTATCATTTTTCGGGTATTCCTATCTAAAATAAAATCAGACATCAGACTAATTTTGATCTTCTTTCAAACATTTAATCCCCATTGATTCACCTAGTTTGGAACTATTATAAAGGTATAAAAAAATTTATCAGGGACTTTTTGGTTCTTTGACCATCTAAAGCCCTTGAATTCCTTCAAAGTAGATAATAGCAATTATGTGTTTGACTTAATATTTATGTATTTGATGAAGACATTAACAAAAAGTTGGTGGGAAATGTCATTTTTCTATCTTGTGGATTTAGGGATTTCTACCTTGTAGATTTAGGAATCCACAAGGATTTATGTTTTCCTACCTCACAGCTGCCCGGAGTTCCCCCATCTCATCTGCTTTTATATAGCTAGTTCCCACAGAAAACAAGTGCATTTGAATACTTTAATATGATCTTGAATTTTTATGTGAATATTTGTCATATGTAAGTGCTTTTGAATGAATTTATGATTCAAGTAAAGTCATTAACCCCACTTGGAAAAAGACTGTATTTAGTGTTTTCAGAAATATTTGCTGAGAAAAATACAAAGGTAACTTGCATAATGGGAAAGTAGTCTATTCATAATCTTAAAATAGAATACTTTCATACATTATTGTAGGATAAAATAAGTAAGGGTAGAATTGTCTCTGTTTTCTAGAGTCACCTCTATTTAAACTTTTTAAATGTTGATAATTCTATTTATAATAGTCTGAAAGATATTTCAGAGGTGGTAAACTGACTCTTATAGACTTTGAATTTTGTGAACAGTTTAATAAATGATTGAAGAGGTTCATATCATAGTTGATGAACTTTGTGTTCACTTTGAGTTTACTTTCTCTTGCAAATCTTGTTGGCAGATAGTCAAGAACTCTGTTCTGCGGTAGACACAGACCACTTTGCACTTTTTGTCCAGTGGCCCTCCTTAGATGCCCATTTTGTCTGCATGGGTCATTTATTTTTCCCCCACTTTGCTGACAAATGCCAAAAATGTGCCAACTGTCATGATGGGTTTTGTCTAAGTGGGCTGGATGGAGATCAGTCATTTATTTCACACAGGCTACTGGACAACCTAATTAATTGGAGATTCAAACATCTGACCTGTGTGGCTAATGCAGAAGATGTGAAAATAATACTCTGACCACCCATGTGCATTGAAGGGAGCATTTCAGGGAAAACGTTCCCTTAGTAGCTTGTTTCAAATTACCCTGGCTTCAGAAACTGTTTTCATAAGGAAGGATAACTACACGCTCAAGGCTGAACGTGACCTGGAATGAGATATCTGGGCAATTAACCATTTACACTGTTGAGTGTGGTTCATGGAGGAAGAAGTGGGAGAAGGGGGAGTAGAATGTGATACTTATGTCCCCTTGGTCATTGTTTTTTTAGTTGTTGAAACAGAAGCAAATGTTGGCTCTCTAGTTGTATGGTACTTTAGGAGGTGAACATATTTGTTATGCACATGTACTCCCTCCAACCTGAGCAGCACAGGGCTCACCGAAAGATTATTTAGAGCTAAGCCTTACCTAATTGTGGAGCACTGCTCAGGACAGTGGATTAGACAGACGTCCAGGGAGGGGCGAGCAAAGGACCAGAGTGGGTGTTTTGGTAGGAGGGATTATCAGCCAAATGAAATTGGTTCTATCTAGAGCTTTAGTTTATTGGCCACAGTGTCTTCTCAACCAAAGATATCAGCAGGAAAATGTGTGATACAAATTTTTGTAATGATAACTGGGGATGAAAATGTTCTCTCTGATATGTTATCAGGCACTCAGCAGGGGAAATGAGATATTACCATCTATAGAATTTTCTTCCTTCTAAAAACCCAGAAGTACCTGCCTGTCTGGGGGCTAGAGGAACGGCATCAAGAATCCTTTTTTTTACTTGTTGACATAATTCCCTTCCTCTAAGAGAAAGTTCTTGAAAAATTGAATTAACTTGGTCTTCAAACATCAAACTAAATGTCATGTTTCTTGAACTTAGTTTTTTTTTTTTTTTTTTAGGGTAGGAATCTAGAGAACATATTATCATTTAAACTAGCATGTAATAGGTCCCATTTTCCAGCTTCATGGATTATTTTCAGACTTGCCCATTCTCAAATAGCATGCCTCCAAATAACTACCACCATTGCCAAAATGAAACAGGGTATAAGGTGTGACATTGTACCTTATAGGAAACTAGCTTGTTCATTGAACACATACAAAATATAGTTATTGCCTAGAAAAGTTAACTGACCCAATGTGAGGCATTTTATTTTCCTAGTTTAGCAAATCTATTTGAATAAATGATGTGTGTGTGTTTGTGTTTACTCTGCATGTAAATGTAGGATTCATGAATGATACTATAAGTAAGTAAGACAATACTTAAGTCAGGGTCTCAGGTAATTTGAGTGGCAACTCAGGCTCTGGTGAAGAGAGTTGGGTATTTTTTTTTTTTTTTTGGTGCTAATCTGTTAACTTCCATGTTTTATTGTTTTCTCTTTTATAACCTCATTCGCACAGAGAGGCTTAGATTGGTGATCAGAGGCTTAGATTGGTGATCAGATTCATCAGATCACTTCTAACCTTGTATGATTCAGTGATATGCATATTTTAGGAAGTCAGTTCTTGCAAAATGAAAAAAAAAATGCTCCCTGAAGGTGACTGTTACTGAGATAGTAAAACACACAGAGCAGTTGGATGAAACTGAGAAGGCATTGCATTGGGAAATAGAAATGTTTGCATAATATGTCTGTTTCAAAAAAAATGTGAGCTATTATAGCAGTTGTTAAAA